AGCCTGAACCCTCAGCCACGGCCACTCCACGCCCGGCAGGAAAATCCTTGGCCGAGATCCTGTAAAAACACGGCGCTGACGCTGCTTTTGGGGTGATGAGGCTGCGATGATTCTGTTGGTGCTGCAGAGCCCCAGCTCCCCTGAACCCCGAGCCGCTGATGCAGCCGACAAAGCGGGGAGGAGAAGCCGCTTCCACCTCGATTCCCCCGGAGCTGGCAGCACGGTCATGTCACAGCTCGCCCAAAGCAAAGAGCAAAATAATAATAATGAAAAAAAAAAAAAACAAATAGCTGGAGCTCAGTGAGAGCTGGGAGCAGAGGCTGACTCAAAGGTGGGTCCCGAATGTCACGCCAGATGAACCAAACTGCGGCTGGTTKCCTTCTGAGTAATTTTCCCTGACTTTTTCCCTGTTGTTTCCTTGTGAATGTAGCCAAGACACCTTCAGCTGTCTCTCCTTGCTTCCCCAGAGGAGTTCTGTGGCCAGAGCATGAACTGACACATGAAATTCAGGACAGTCAGTGATTCAGAGCTTGGCTGTGGAAGGTCCCGGGTGGGCACAGCCTCCCCGTGCTGCCCCTCTCCACACTCTGCAYCTCTGCTGCTTTTCATCGCACTTTTCTGTCCTTCAGCCAAAGCCCTCATCGGGATTTTCCAAATTTTGAACCTCCCTCTAAAGGAAATATTATTGTCCTTTTTATTTATAAAAGGAAATCTGGATATTTTTACACGAGTGACCAGCGCGGGGCTGTGTCCAACGCCCTTGTCAGACCTCTCCAAAACTTTCCCCTCGCTATTTTTCCTCCCTTGTTTTGTCACCCTTCTAGAAAAAGCATTAATTTCTAAATCCTCCCGGCTTGTTTTYGCATCGGTGCCGTTCCACCGTTCCCTGCCCGGTGAGTCACTTCCCCCCGGGTCGGTGTTTCACACATTAGAGAAGGAAGTGTTGGGAAGAGAAATACGCTGGGATTGCCCAATCCCGCGGAACTGGGGCTCGGCACGGCCGCTCCCGAGCCTGTCCTGGACCRGGAGCCCCTCACCAGCCGAGGGACACGGGCACGGCTCATCCCGGCTCCCGCGGGCTTGGCTTTGGGTTCCGGACCCAAAAGCCGGGGTGACCTGTGCGGGGTGGGTGCTGTCACCCACCTCCTGCACCCCCCGCTTGTGGCGCCGGTGACACGCAGCGACATTCCCGGCGGGTTTTCCCCMCGGACAAACGCTCGTTGCCAAGCCATCGCTCCTTCCGTGGGTGTGAGCGGGCACAGCGGGCACCAGCGCTGCAGCCATCTGCCATCCGCCGCCTCAGGCTGTGCCCATCCCGATGGAGGCATTAATAACCCCGGACACCGCCAGCCGCTCCCCGCCGCTGCGGGACCCTCTGGGGGTTTCGCACCGCCCTCCCCGGAGCCGCGATCCGCCGGCACGGGGATGAAACAGCCGCACACCCGCGGCACCCCACGGTATCAGAGCCGCTTTCCCCGGCTTCTCCGGCGGCTCCGGCTGGAGGGAGCAGGCGATGAATGAGCTGTGCCAAATCCACGGGAAGAAAACAACCTGTGGTGTACCCGCGGTGGAGATGGATCCCCGTCCGTGCCTATCGCCATCCTACCCGCATCTCTATCCTCATCCCCATCCCCATCCCAGCGCTGCCCCGCCGGAGATGCGCGGGCAGGGACCCCCCGCTCCCGGTCCCGCTCCCGCTCCCGGTCCCGGTCCCGACGGGGCGCCCCGCGGGCACTCACCGCCGCCGCCGCCGAGGCTCTCCCGCAGGAACTGCCCGCTGGAGAGGTGCTGGAGCCCGAAGCTGCGGGCGATCCTCTCGCACACCGTGCCCTTCCCCGAGCCGGGGGGCCCGAGCACCACGGCCCGCAGCAGCTTGGAGGCCATGGCCGGCTGCCGGCGCCGGAGCGCTGCGGGGCAGGACACGCGTCAGCCGCCCCGGCCGCGCTCCCCCCGCACCGCCCGGACACATCAGCAGGGCGGGGGGACCCCGCGGCCGCTCCCCCCGCGCCGCCCGCCCGCCCCCTCGGGCCGCGGCACTCTGGGATTTGTAGTCCCGGAGCCGCCCGCTCATCCCCCGGCCCGACGGGGCTCCCGCGGGTCCGCACGTCCCGGCCCGGTACATCCCGATTCGGCGCATCCCGGTTCGGTGCATCCCGGTTGGGCGCATCCCGGCTCGGTACATCCCGGCTCGCCGCGAGCTCCCGGAGCCGCGCTGCCCATGGAAGCGGCTCCCGGGGCACGTCCCGCACGCCCGTCACGGCCGTGCCCGCAGMGAGCCGGGGGGGACCCACCGGGGACCGCCACCACCGGTGCGGACACGCGGGGACAGCCTGCGGGTACAACCTGTGCGTGATCAGCCTGCGAGCAGCCGGAACGCGGCTTTGGGTGTGCAACCTGTGGATGCACGGCTGGAAAACTACAGCCGGGGAGGCACAACCTGTGGATGCACGGCTGGAAAACTACAGCCGGGGAGGCACAACCTGTGGATGAACGGCTGGAAAACTACAGCCGGGGAGGCACAACCTGTGGATGCACAGGCGGCACACACGCGCGCAGCCTGGAGATGGAGCACAGCCTGTAAAAACAGGCTGCGGGAGCAGCGTGCAAGCGCAGCCTGTCATTGCATAGCCCGGCACGGCACAGCCCGGCACGGCACAGCCCGGCACGGCACAGCCCGCCGTTCCCAGGGGCTGCTCAGCGCTGGTGACACCGCCGGAGGTGTCTGTGTCACTCCCTCTGTGTGTGTGACTCTGTGTGTCATTCCTTGCGTGTTTGGCTGTGTCACTGTCTCCGAGGGACTGTGTCTGTGTCGCTGTGTTCGTGTCATTCCTTGTGTGTCTGTGTGTCACTCTTTGTGTATCTGTGTCACTCCCTGTGTGTCTGTGTGTCACTCCATGTGTGTCACTGCGTGTGTGTCACT